GAGCTCCGCGCGGGCCGCCGCCGGCCCTCCGCCGTGGGGCACGTTAGGCCGGGATGGGAGGGGGCGATTCCTGCGGCGCTTCCTGCGTCTCCTGGTCCCCTGCCAGCCCCGCTCCGCGTGCGACAGGTTCCGTCTCTGTCTGCGTGTGTGTGCTCGGCTCTGCGTCAGCTTGTTTTTTCCACATCGGTAAAATTATTACCCGTGCTACAGGTCGAATGTTAATTTTAACATTTTATGTCTGCCTTCAGTTTTTAATACGGGTTCTGTAGAACTTGGAATTATGCTATTGATTTCTAGGAAAAAAACCCAAACTAGTGGCACTGATTCTGTATTAGTAACTTCAGTTATCTTGAGACAGGTCAGGTATTGGTCTCCTATGTCTGGTGACCCGTTATCCCAAACTCATAATGATTTTTTAATACTACTGTGAATAGTTAGAGGCTGTTTGTTAATTGTGTTTACTGTGACCTCACTTCTGCAGGGCTTTACAAAACAGCAGCAGCACCCAGACCATGGTCTTCTCAAGGCCATGCAAGGCAACAGAGCTGACTTTACTAACAACTGAATTATCTCTCTAGTAAAGGCTTTTTTTTTTTTCCTTCGTTGCTTCGGTTTTTTTAGCTTGTCAGCAGTTAATAACTTACTAGTTTTTAATGAGTTTTGGCCAGCATCTCTTGTTACAGCAATGTGGAATTTTAGAATAGGAGCTGTGGTAAAATCTGTCCTTGAAGTGGTGTTAGGACTGGTAACTTTTGTAGATCAGATATAAGAGCCTTGGGTATTACAGCTGTAAAATGCTTGGGGTTTAAGAAGCTTGAGACTAGAATCTAAAGCAAGACAGTTTCAACTGTCCTGGCCAAAGTGTGCTTGGACAGCTCCCCTTGGACAGCTAGTTCAGAAGTGGTGGAGGTGTCTAGCTGTTCAGCACAACTAGTGATAGAGACTAAAATCAGATGGACTAAACAGCTAGAGGGAGAAAAGAAAATCCATGTCTGCAGAAATGGAGGGTGTTCTGAGTTGGCTGTTGTAGAACATTCCATACGTATTCTGTATCTGTTTATTTTACAACAGCTGGTGGCCACAAGTTTTCATCATTTAATGGGAGTGACTCGTGGGCTGGGCACAGCTCCCTTTATGACAGGTTTGTTTGCCAGTATTAATTTTCTACTTAACTATGGTTGTTACAGAGCACTGACTAATAGTTTGGGGTGTGAACGTGCAGAGGGAGATTTGTACGTTTATCTTTGCTTTGGTTGCTGCTAAGTGCACAGAAGCTTGAAAATTGCTCAGAAATGTTAGCATATAAAAACAGCTGCTCTGAACTGTGCAACAATACTTGTAAATTTTGAGATCCAAACTCAAGAAAAAAAAATAAAAAAGCTGCTACTTCTCCAAATGCAATTGAACATGTTGATGCTGACCTCTGCAGTTCTGCACAGTTAGTTTGCCCAAATTGCTGCCTTTACTCTTAGCAGTCTTTTTTGATTAACATGGCAGTGGAAATCCCATGGAATGCTTGATTTGGTTGTGTCTTGTTTCCCTGTCTTAGGTGGAATAGCATTTGTGTTGGAGGACTTTAGACTCGGAAATTCTCATTTAGTGAAAAATTTGAGTTGTATGAGTCTGTGCTGTAAGGTTTCTCCCTTGTCTAAATGGTTTAATAGAAGAATTTCTTTGATGTTGCACCTCAAGTGACTACATATATGTGTTATAATGTGTCAGGTTTTGGTGCAGTTCGTGTAGAATAAACTCCATGTCCTTGTATGTGTCAGTAGAGGAAACTCACTGTTAGGTTGTAGCTCCTAGTCATGTAACTATGTGCTTGTAGGTCTGATGCTGCCCAGTAGAAAAGTGAGTTTCCTATTATGGTCTGCAGAGTTGGTCTAAGGACTCAGTGATGTTGATTCCAGATGTGGGTGTGTGCTGGTTTTTGCTAGGGTAGAGTTAATCTTCAGCATAGTAGCCATCATGGGGCCATGTTTTGGGTTTGTGGTGAGAAGTGTTCACACAGGGATGTTTCAGCTGTTGCTGGGCAGTGCTTAAACAGAGTCAAGGCCTTTTCTGCTCCTCACACCACCCCAACAGCGAGTAGACTGGGGGTGCACAAGAATTTGGGAAGAGACACAGCTGGGACAGCTGAACCCAGCTGACCAAAGGGATTTTCCAGGCTATATGATGTCATGCTCAGTGTACAAAGCTGGGGGAAGAAGAAGGAAATAGGGGTGTTCGAAGTTAAGGCGTTTGGCTTCCCAAGTAACGGTTACACGTGACGGAGCCCTGCGCTCCTGGAGGTGGCTGAGCACCTGCCTGCCCACGGGAAGCGGTGAATGAGTTCCTTGTTTTGTTTTGCTTGAATATGTGGCTATTGCTTTGCCTGTTAAATTCTTTATCTCAGCCCACACGATTTCTCACTTTTAATCTTCTGACCCTCTGCCCCATCTGACCATTGGGGAGTGAGTGAGTGAGTGGCTGTGTGGTGCTCAGCTGCAGGCTGGGGTTAAACCATGACAGTGAAAAGAGAATCCACAAGAGGACCCTTTCTCTTCCTCTGGAAAAGCTGAGCAGCCGTTGAAAGCCATGAGCAGTACTTCCTGGCTTTCTCCCTTTTCCTTCAAACTTTTGTGGAGAAGCCAGGAAGGAATAGAGAATCGCAAGTATATAAACAGTTTAGAAGTCTGCATTTTGTCCTCTGATGTTAAACAAATGATTGCACCCCTTCCTCTCTGCCATTTAGGCGCAGCCTAGAACCTAACATCCAAAGTAACCATTTTATGTGACTGTATTTGAATTTTTTTTTTTTAGGAAACATAAAATTCAGGGTATGGATATCTTTGTGTCTTGGAACACCTATAAGAAAGGGAGATTTTTAGCACCTTTCTTGCCTGTTGCACGAGTGCAGAGATGAGTAGATAGAAAAAGAATGTGCTCCGGAGAAAAATCCCGGGGGAAGAAAAAAAAAAAAGGTCGTTTGAGTATTGTTTTTTAAATAAGAGGAAATTGTGGAAAGGTGATGGATTTGGCCTAATTCCTTATTTCTGAACTAAAATGTAAACACTGTTACTGGAATTGTATGAAACGAATGTGATGTTGACTTTCTCCTTGTTCTGTTTCTTAGATCAAGTAACACCCTTTTTCCTGCTTGTTACAGAAAAAGTTGCTAAGTTTTCTCTTGATTTGGACACGCTGCTGGTAAGTACACTGGATCCATCTTGATTAACATCCATTTTGTTACCATTTCATTTCCTTGTAAGCTGGTTGTGTTGACCTTACTGACGCTGAGGTTAAGCCTAGTATTAATCAATGATGGAAGTAAGTCTTGGGAACCCCCATCTGAGAGATATCCTATTAATGACTGGCTATCTGGAAAGGTTACTGCCTTGAGAACAGTAGCTTGCCCATACTCAGCTATTCTTAGCAAAAAAAAATTTTCATCTTTTTGATGAGTAAGGTACACTTTTAGCGTAAATATGGTTGCCATTGTTTCTTTTCAGCGGTGCTCCTTTAAAAGAGTACAATCGGCAGGTGCATGGTACCCACACACCATTGCAATCCTTCAGGGTGAGGTGGCATAAAAAGGGAATAAATGCCTACTGCTTTCTTACAAAACAAATTGGGCTTTATTTGTCTATAAATCAATGAAGTGCTGAGTAGCTGTACAGCTTGGTAATGATTGTAGTCTGCTTCCAGTATACATAGAAATGCTTCTCTGAAAAGTTTCCTGGGCATTTGATGTTTGCATACATGGAAGGGATCAGATCTGATTTCCTGTTTGGTTGCAGCCATGTCTGTAGCCCTTCTGAGACAGATATTCTGTTATTTGTATATGCGTTAGGTAGAACTTTGCTTACTCAAATTGTTTTGTGGTTTATGACAAATCACTACAATGCAGTATAATGATTTGGAAGAAGTTTCAGTAGGAGTTTATGACTTCATGGCTCTTGGATTTTTCAAAGTTTCTGCTCATTTATAGGTACTATAATTTTTAGTGTCCTGCTTCAAATACACTCTGAGGTGGGTGCTCAGTGCCTATCATGTATTGGGCCTCTTCAGAGTATCTCAAGTACTCAGAGATGGGTTACTCAAATTGAGTATTTTGGGGTTGTAATTTTTTTTTTTATAAGACCAGTCATTGAGACTTTCTGCAGGCAAGAGGCTGTCCTAGGTACTTAAACTGGTTACACTGAGAAGGAAGGAGTATCCTTTAACACTTGTGCTGAAGAGGAAAGTGTGAAAGCTGAAAAGCTGTCTGCTTTCTGGAATTGTCTGTGTGCTTGGACAGCTGGTTTTGAAAAGCAGAAGTAGTGTCAAAGAACTGTTCATTGCTTTTGGAAAAGTCATAGTAAATTACTCAGCAGAGCCTTCTCTACTGCCTTGCAGCTCTCAACAACAACTTTGCCTATATAAAATGTGGATAACTCCCTACGTGCGAGTTTCCTGTCCAGTCTAATGGTGGTGGTGGTTTTAAGCAGATCCCTTTCAGTTATGCAGTGGTGTGGTAGGAGGGAACACACCCTCTGATACTACACCCAGGCTGAGGAGGGGGAGCTGCCCATTAAACTGTGACCACTCAGTGATGCACCTTCTCCACCTGCACTCTGTAGAAGTCCATGCAGGGACACAAGGTGAAAGGCTGTACAGAATCACATGTTCAGGCACTCCTTTTTGCAGGTCTTCTAGTCTGGCACAGGTCAGTTGTGGTCAGTCCTGCGTCTGTGACCTTTCACTTGCTGATTTTTATTTTTTCAGTTTTTCTTCTTAATTGCAGGGAACAGCTTCTGTGGGCAAGAATGGGCTGCCGGGACGTTCATGCAGCAACAGTCCTGGCCTTCCTCAGCGGCACAGCCTCAGTAGCCGGACTCCTCGCAGCAGTTCTGCTCCCCAACTGGAGGCAGATGAGGCTGTACACGTTCAACAAGAATGAGAGGAACGTGACGGTGTACACCGGGCTCTGGATCAAGTGCGCGCGCTTTGACGGGAGCAGGGACTGTGTGATCTACGACCCGCAGTGGTACACGGCCGTCGACCAGCTCGATCTGCGTGTTCTTCAGTTTGCCCTTCCTCTGAGCATGGCAACTGCTGCCTCAGCTCTGTTTCTCTGCTTGATCGGCATGTGTAACACGGCCTTTGTCTCCAGCGTGCCCAACGTCAAACTGGCCCGGTGCCTTGTGAACAGCCCGGGCTGCCATCTTGTGGCTGGCCTCTTGTTCCTGCTTGCCTGTGCCATTTGTCTCACTCCGTCAGTCTGGGTCATTTTTTACAACAACTACCTGAACAGGAAATACGAGCCCATCTTTAGCTTTGACATCTCCGTGTTCATTGCCATTGCCAGCGCCGGGGGTCTGTTTTTCACTGCCATTCTGCTGTTCCTGTGGTACTGTGCGTGTAAGAGCTTACCTTCCCCCTTCTGGCAGCCCCTCTATCCCCACACCCCCAGCATGCACAGCTACCCCCCCCAGCCCTACTCCACCCGCTCTCGCCTCTCTGCCATGGAGATTGACATCCCCGTTGTGACACACACCTCTTAAGAAGGTGGAGTCTTGGAAACCAAGTTCTTGTGCTCATCCAAACCACGCAAATTGCAGGGTTGATTCTCTCTGCTGCCTTGCACTGAGCGTAAGCATTTGTAAGGTCAAATTTCCCAATGGAGATCTGAGTTCAGCAAGTCCGTTGCTGTTCTCGTGTGTTACTTCTTCAACAACTTTTGTTGGTTTTGTTTTGTTGGGTTTTTGTTTGTTTTTTTTTAACTCTGAACTCACTACAGACAAAATTGCTGTTAATGCTGGGCCAGTACACTAGCAGTAGCACCCGTTCATCCTCCTGCTGTCTGAGATCAAAAGAGGTTTGAACCTCTTTGCTATTTGGTAGGCTGTTGTTAGATTCTGATCCCACGGCCAGAGCTGGGCGGGTGGACCCTCGCAGCCATGCATTACCCAGGTGCAGGTGGTGGGACTGGCTGCCGAGGGTTCACTCCGTTTCTTGTTCAGCTAGACACATTTTAAGATGTGATGTCTGAAAAGGGTATTTGGCAGACCAGTTCAGTAGCAGTGTTCTTTGTTTTCTGCTGCACACACAAAAAGCTACCCACTTATGAATGTCTGCAATAGAATTAGTGTCAAATTACCCTTTGTTTTCAAAGTAGCTATCGGGAGAAATAAAGCTGAATTAACTAATGATGTTCTGTACTGTAATAGCATTTTGTGAATTGCTGGAGGCTAGAAACTCTTTTTGTGAATTTTTTTTCTATTCTGCTTTTTAATAAGTTAGCATATTCACTAGAACTATATTGTGATTAAACCAAAATCCACTTGTATTCAAAAGTTCTGTTTAGAAGCTTGAATATTTTATGTGAAGGCCATCTTGAAGATAAATTTTCAAGTAGGCTTTAAAGTGTTGTTCAGTTCTGGAGAGGACTCTCTGTCACTACCTGAAAAGTGGATTGGGAAAACCATGAAGAATTCTGAAGGCTTTTAAAGAGTCTTTCGGAACACTGTACACAAGCTATAACAGCATCTCTCTGGGAAGGCGATTATAACCCCGGGGAGAGATTTTTAAATCTAGATTGTTGGGGTTTTTTAAATGTATATACAAGTAACAATAAGCTCGTGTATTTTTCAGAGTTGATCTTTATGGTCGTTGGACTTTTCATGCTGTAGTTTGCTTAATTACTGATTAATAGTTAATCTTCTTAGCCTCGTTCTTCAACACCTTTCAAGCTGAGCTGTTTTAAAATCCAGTTATTTCCTGTGCTGCCACCTCACAACTGGACAAAGTTTACCATTCCTGTTTTCTGTAAGATGAGGTTTTTAATAACTTGTGAGCTTCATCGTGTAGCTCTGCAAGGACGAGGAAGGATTATAGATTCCCAGCTTGGGATGTATTTAAATCTTTTTTTTTTTTCAGTTATTTTTTATTCTAAAATACAGAGCAGGTCAGCCCTAAGGATCAAAGCGTTTCAATATGTGCTCTGAAATGATTCGGAAATTTGATGACAGTGAGTTGAAGAGTGTTATAATTAAGGCAAGTACTTAAATTGCTCAGATTTTGACAAATTGAGTTCTTCTGTTTGAGATGTCATTCCAATAAAGAATGTGATTTTGATTGATGGCATTCTGGAGCTTAGTGGATATTTGTATATCATTAATTCCAGAACAAAGCTGCTTTGCCAAAAAATCAAATAGAATACTTTAATTCCAGTTCTGCAAACTCACCCAAGGTCCTGAAAGTCTGTTTCTTTTTCCATGCATTAGAAATAGGAACAAATGCTGTGCTGGGCAAAACTGCTTCTGTGACAATCTGTGCCGTAACAGGACGTTGTGAGGCATCACTGTGCTCTAACTGGTAGACCTTAGACCTCAGTGGCCTGAGTGAGCAGAAGCTAAGCCCTGTCAGCAATTCCCAGCATAGTCGCTGATGGCCTTTCAGACAGAGTGCCTGATTAAATTGCAGTCTAAGGAATTAACACCATAGGTGATAAAGATTACTGAAGGAGGTAGGTCTCTGCAGTTACATTAATTAATACCTTCTTAGGTTTGCAAGCAATGCTAGATGAACTATTTTTTTTTTTTTTTCTTTTAATCAGCTCATGAATTGTATGAGATTAGAACATGCAAGCCAGCTTTTTCTCCTCTGAAACTGAACTTTGCTTTACAGTTACTCTGTTTGTCCAACCTTAGATACTGGTGCTGTTTCAGCTGCCCATATCCTTGGACTTTTTGTAAGGTCAAAGAAAAGGGACCACTGGGTTGTGATTTCACGTCAGCTTGCTTCCCCGTCGCTCCCGTGTCGTCATCTTTGTGCCTTGCTTGGGTTGGCCAGTAAATGTTAGCTTGCAGTCAGTGTCTGGTGTGCTTTTTGAGCCTGAGTTTACAGAGTGTTTTGCTCATTTTGGAGGGGTGATGGATACATCTCTCGATGACTTTAAAAGGAGATGAATCATTAGCATCTTCAGAGCACGAAAGGCAGCCTGGCAAACCGATGTTTTCTACAAGAGTACATTGCATTTTGTTCTGTACACTTTAAATAGCAGATGTCTCTGACAGCTCTTTTGTACTCTGACTTCGATTTTTATGCACTAAACATTCAATCAGTGTTTGCTGCTGCCTAAGCTGAGAACCTGTTGCTTTGAAAGTTGTGTCTTTCGGAAGTCTGAGATGGATCTGAGTTACAAAAAGTGGGGATCCGAGCGGATTCCAGTGTCGGTTTCAGTTAAGGTCATCCCTATAAAAAGGACTGTTGCATCACCGAAGCATGGCTGGGTTTCTTTCAGCAGTGCTGTTCATGTGAATTTCTGCTGGATCCTCAGTGACATGAGCTGGAAGCACTGTGCTGTACTTCTCCTTCACAGAAAAGGGTGGCCAACCTGTGACACTTGAACCGAGTGCCACTCCAGCATTTCCCTTGCTAAGGTTACCATCGTGCCTGGCAGCAGTTCTCCCCGGAGCTGAGAACAGCCCGTGTGTCCTGGATGTATCTTTGCCCGGGCGTGCCGCTGTGGGGCACTGAGCCTCTGCCGGCTGCTCCTTCCTGGGTGCTTCGCCGCGCACAGGACAGGCACTCTGGGTCTTGAACGTGGGAAGACTTTTTATTTGTGGCTTCTGCAGCCAAAGGTTGGGTGCTCTGGGATTACAGAGGTCTGTTTTGTTTTGGTTTAAGTAATTCCTGTCCAACTTTTTAAGCTGTGTTTAATTACAGTGTTGGTTCTTTATATGTGAGACAGAAGATATGTATTTTTAATAAAACATTCTCATACAGATGCAGTTTATTTTGATTTATTTTGTGGAAAACAACTGCTAGAGTATGAAAGACTTACCTGTTTTGATACTGATCACCAAGCTGTTTCTGATGCCTCAACAGGCTTAAAATGTTGTGTATATTGCATTTTTAACTGCCTAATTCTATAGGACTCCTGCTTTAAACAAAAAAAACAAACAAACAAACCTGAACTAGCCCTTCAGAAAGCCTGACTGTAATTTATAATTTCTTCTTATTTTTATTGTAAGGTAGCCCTAAGAAGTTCTAGGATTCCTTTTCCCTTTAAAAGCAGGAAGGCCATTTCCCTTGCCTCGAGGATTCCCTCAGTGCCTGTGTCCAGGCTGTGGGCCAGGGTCTGGCTCAGCCCCGCAGCAGAGCCCCAGGGAGAAGCATGCAGTGGCTGGAGCCCTGTCTCTGTCCCCGTGTCAGCTCTGCCCTCGCTCAGCCATCGCCTCCCCAGCTGAAAACCTCTCTGCTGGGTTAGTTTTTTCCTTGGCTGGTAAGTTTTGAGTGTTTTGATTTGAGATTTGCCTGGTTCGAGTGTCCCACAAGGTGGGCAGCAGTGGCATCAGCCATCCTCCTGCCCTTGCCCTCTGCTGAACTGTCAGCTGGAGAACGTGCTCCTGCCTTGCCTCTGGAGGTTGTTGGAACACACCAGGGACTTGTGACATTCCAGAACAAAGGTAAGGGTTAGTGATGCTGAGCTGCTGCTGTGTGCAGCTCCTGGCAACTGCAGCTCAGCACCATTAAGGCAGCGGAGTTCCAAGCCTTCCCCTCTTGTTATGGGGCAAGCTACAAACCCTTTGAGTGTGAGAAATGCTGAAGCTGTGGCACAAGTTCACAAAATGACCTGGATTATTTATGCAGAATATAGTGAGACTTGCTGGTAATTTCTATGTAGATTTCTAGTATTCTAAACTGGCATTCTAGTAAACTGGGTTTTTTATCTGTTTGAGGAAGTAACGTTTCTATGAGAACGATTCTCATGGAGTGTGCACGGTATAAAGCAGTTGTTGCCAGTGCTACAACTCACCCAAGGGGTTGGAAGATAATTTTATATTCTCTGCTTCTGTGCATTCATTTCCTTCTTTGCTGTCCCTTGCAGAAAGGCCTCCAGTCTCTGTGAGCTGGTATAAACCTAGGGGCTAGTTGGGTGCTGAAATAAATACTGAGATGCAGAGAACTCAGTCACCCAAAACACAGTAGTACCTCATTTGTATTAGAAATACTCAAATTACATCATGTATTTGTGCTCACTGAAATCACTTGGCAGATTTTCCTGTTTTATTTCACAGAATTGAATTTGCATACGTGGTCCTGCAGGCACATAATGTTACTTATCTCTTCATGTATGTGCTGAGCAGGCAGGTAACGCACCTCAGAAGCAGGATAAGCTTTTTTGTACATTTTTTGTTCTACTGCTGCATCACCATTTACCAAGCTGGACACACAGAGGCCTCATTGAAGGGTAAGAGGGCGGTTTCTTATTTCAAAACTGCTTTTTATCTGTGTTCCAAACAGTCAGTTTGCTCATTCAGGTATTAAGCTGCTAGGGATGAAGCCTTTGTCATTTGGGTGTAGCAGCTGCAGGGAGATCTGACCACAGGGCAGTAGAAATTGTGAGCTGAAGGTTAAGCCTTAACCATTGGTTAAGGCTGTTTTGAGGAGAGAGACCAGAAAGCTGGACTTCAAGAGCAGGATCGTTTTCCTGGTTTCTGTTCTAACAAAGAGAAAAATATGTAATTAAATCTCCAAGTATTTGAACAAGCTTTGC